GACAGGAAGGTTTGACAGACACCGAGGTGATCTATGCGTTTCATTAACTGGGAAGGTCATCTATGTTCTTAATACATGGGTCACTGGGAATATTATTTTATTACTTTTTCTTCCTAGGCCTCCTAACTTAACCTCAGGAGGAAAAAATACATTTCTGATTGATTAAGGTTGCCAGTTATGATTTGAAACTTTCACTTTATTCTGAATGGCAGGAAAATAAAATGCTGTGTTGTATGTGTGCTGTTGCCTTAAGTCTAAAGGAAAAAAGGAAACCAGCATCCTGAATGGCAGGTGCATTGGGGTGGGGGCGGGGAGCGCTGGAAAGAAGCTCTTCTCTGTCAGACCATCACTTTGTGCCTGTCGTCCTCCTAGGCATGTAACAGCTGCCTTCATTTACTCCCAGACCAACCCAGTGAGATCAGACTAGCTCCAACTTACAGGTGAGGAAAAGGTAAGTTTAAGTGACTTGTCCAAAGTCACAGGTCGAGGAAATGGCAGAGCCAGACCTGAACCAGGTCTAAGTGAAGGTTGGCTCCTTGCAATACACCAAGAGACAGAGGAATGCCCGGAAATGTCCAAGCTTCTTTCAAGGTACCTGGATACCCTGCAGGTCCAGAGGGGCCAGGTAGTCCTGGCCTTCCCGGTGGTCCTCCAGGTCCTTGAATACCAGGCAAGCCCTGCTCTCCAGGTGGTCCCAGAAGTCCTAAAGAAAGAAGGACCAAACATCTGACTAGTAGATTGCTCTTCGAGGCGGTGAGTCTATAAAATCTCCAATTTCAGCCTTTTCTTTCCTATTCTTACTTTTTAACATGTACAGTTTTTCTATTGAAAAGATAACATTAAGGAAAATTTGAAAATAAACAATTATAAGACCCAAGATTTTATATTCTGATTTTAATTAGCATTGTATTGTAATTTTCCAAGTTTGATATCATTTTCCTAATTATTGTTTTTAAACAACTGGCTCATAGCTTATTGAGTTAACCCTAATTAAATTAATTAATCTAATTTTCTCTCCTATTAGCCATCCAAGTGATTTCTAACTCTTGCTGTTGTGCATAATAATCTTCATATATCTTCAATCAATTTTTTTCTCCTACTAAACTATTTCTTTAGGAAAAATTCTTAGGAGTAGAATTTTTAGGTAGCACAGTATGTTATTTTGGTTCTTTTTAAATGCATTTTTAAATGCTGAAGTATTTTAAAGTAAATCACAGACATCATGGAATTTCATCCCTTAATATTTCAGGAGGTATGTCTGAAAAATAAGAATGTTTACCTAGTGGCCAAAATAACATTATCACAGCCAAGAACATTAATAACAATCCTTAACATCATCTAATACTAATTCCATACTTGAGTTGCCTCACTTGTCCCCTTAATGTCCTTCACAGCTGGCCTGTCCACACCGAGTCCCAGTCCAGAACCTCACATTGCATCTGGCGGATACATCTATTAGGTTAAAAAAAAAAGCCTACTACAGTCCCCAGTTGTGCTTAGTCTTCTAAAACAGACCACTCATCATCGGGTTCTTGATAAAAAATGGGTGTTAAATGGTTTGGATAAGTGTTCCACCAACTCACACCACCCCCTGTAACCCACCCTCAGCCCCACGATCACAGCTCCAAGAGTGTACCGTGTGCTCACTGAGAACTTTTTAGTTTGTCTGTTTGTTTTCTTGCTAATTTAGTAAGGATGAAATGCTATTTCCGACTTACTTTAAATTACACTTCTCTGATGACTAGGGAAGATGACTTCCCATGTGTTTTATTTATAATGTATGACTTTAATCTTTATAGGATAAACCAATAGTCTGTGCTGAAAATGACCAGTTGAATCTACAAATAAAATATACAGTTCTGTATTTACCAACCCATGGGACTCACAGTCATTATTATAACACATAAGAAACAAGCTCACTTTAGTCTATACTTGCTCCCTGATCAAATTAAGGTCTACGAGCTTCATAGTGTATTATTTTATTTATCCTGAAAATATTCCTGCAGTAAATGTAAGGCAGCATGTTCCCAACTCCAAATGAAAAAAACTGAACTGTTGAAAGGCTCGCCTCTCCAATCACAGTTGTATTAAGAACAGAACTCCTGAGTTAATCTGTACTGTATTTTCTTCCAAAATAAAGGAGTAGGAGGGAGCACTAACCCAATGTGATCATATCAGATCCCCCAAGACCGGCTGCAGATCTATGCCTTCTTGTTAGACTTGTTCAAATTCAGTGCAGATTTTTCCAGTCAGTGAAAATTGCATATTTAGGTAAACTCTGTGCTGGTGAATAACATACGATATAATTATAAAAATTTAAGCTAAAGCTACAATTTAAATGATGCTAACCACACAAGACCATGGAAATTACACTTTGGCAAATTTTCTTGAAAAAGTTAGCCTATATGTAAAATAATTCAGAGTTATGATTTTTAATTCAAAACGTTAGGTAATATCAAAGTCTTCCATTTTGGATGACTCTCAGCTTGTAAAAATCTTACTATCTTATGGGTTTACACAAAAATACCAGTAAGTGTGGAAAAATCTCTTAGAGCTTTGCTGACTGATAATGACGATGATGAATTAATTACACTTTACATTTGGGTAGCAATTTTCAGTTTACAGGTTGCTTTCAAGCAGTCTCATCTGATCTCAGGACAACCTGTAATATACATAGGGCCAGTTTACAAGTGGGGAAACCGAGCTCCGAGATGACGGGCAACTTGCCCGAGACCGCATGCTTGGTGATAACAGAGGTCGACTTTGAACCACTGATTTTCTTTTCTGAGACCTCGCTCTGGTGCTTATTACAATCTCCAGAATGCTAACCTCAAAGCTATTTTCCCCTCCAAACATAGCACATAACCTGTACATTTCAGTTAAAATATTATATTATCTAAATAATCTCTTTGACCATGCCACAGGTAAAAGACCCACAGGAAAGGCAGTGGGGAAGGAATTTTTTTTGCCATTATAATAGCTTGCTTTTCTGTTAGACTTCCATTTTAGCAACCTTATGGTAGAAAAACAAAGAAATAAATTTCCCATAATAGTTCTGCTCAGACATTCTTCCTATTGTATGGGATGGCATAGGGCTATCGCCAAAGAGATTTTTAAGCTAATGAACAAAATTATTCATATGAGGTGATTTAATTTACAAGGGACCCATCTAGATACACTCCTGATTTCTAACCGGCCCACCATCAGTTGAATGGCACTGGGTATCACTTACTGAAGCAGTCATCTGTGGATAAGCACTTGTTCGTTCCACACAGCGGATATCCCTGTGTGCTCATTTTTGTACACTGGCCTGATTACTGATTGGTTTAAGATATATTCTTACAAGTGGAATTACTAAGTAAAAAGGTGTGTACATTTTGTTCACTGTGGGTCGGCTACTGTAGAAGCAGCCGCTACTGGAGACTAAGAGCTCACCGGTACATTACAGTCTGTTTGTTCTGACAGATTACACGTCAGTTGTTACTGATAAAGTACTGTTTTGAATAACTGAGCGGTGTGGTTGGTGATGAGGTTTTACTTTTTTTGGTTTGGTTTACTTAGTAAATAAGGTATTCAATGATATTTCAGCAATAACACTGCTTTGCTTTTCTGAGTAGGAAAAAGACAGGGCTGGAATGACAACCTGCAGCTGTAGTCAGGGGAGTGGTTATTGCTAATATATCATTTTTGGTTATAGAAATTGCAAAATAGTCCAAATTCTGATTGCTTGCCATAGTCATTTTTGACTCTGTCCAAACCCGGACGTGCCTAGGGAGGTGTGTTGTTAACATCATAGGTCATGGGAGCCATGGTGGAAAAAAGATGGTGAATCCAGGTCAGTGTGTGTACATAATCCTTCTGATATGTATCTCAATGGGTAAAGAGAGAAGGAAATATTGATACGATCATTGCCAGCTGGAAGGATGAAGTAATCATTCTGTTTTTTCAACCAAATATTTCTTTTTTGTTTTAATAAGAAAACTAGGTAACTATACCTGGAAATCCAGGGCTACCTGGCTCGCCCTTTGGACCAGGTGGGCCAAACTGATCTGCAGGTTCACCTTTGTATCCTGTAAGTGATAAAATGCACATAACATTATTAAAAGAATTTAATTTTGTTCACACAAGTGACTTAACTTTCATGATATTTGTCTTTATAATCTATCTTCAAATGAATCCAGGAGAGGATTTTTGAAAAAATGCTTCTTTTCCCTACATAAGAACAAATAGAAACATAGATGCAAGATGTGATTTAAACACACACACACACACACACACACACACACACAATTTTATAGTTCATAACAATCATAAACTGTAAATCTTAGTAAGTTTGAGTTTTTAAATTTTCTTAAATAGATTCAAATTTATGTATCTATTTAAAAAATTACTTGGCACTGATTGACTGCACCCTTATATTGTTTTTTAGAAACAGGAAGCAGAAATTGTCACTGTTTCAGCTGCTGTAATCACATTTCAGGCTCTCTGCAAGGAAGCTCAACTCAGTGTCCTTGTCAAATAAACAAAATCACAAAAAGCCGTCTTATTGATGACTTCACAAGAGACAGCACATTCAAAGGCCATTGTAGCAGTGACTCCCACAGTCCCACAGAGCTGCTCCACTCTGCCACTGCGTCCTTCCAGACACAAGGACTTACAGTATAGCTGGGAGCCCATTACAAATGGAGGACTCAAAACGGAGAGGCAGGGAAGGCAAGACAATCGAGGGGGTTACTAGAGAGGAAGAGAGCTAATTAGGCATGTTTTAGAGGACCTGCCTACTGAAACCCTTTTTAAGGGGACGCACACTTTCTAGAAGGTTCTCTGACACCTGACCCTAGTCATAATTGTGGCTAATCGTTTGCGGGGCAGGAATCTGGTCCATCCCAGTCAGCCAGTCTTTCCTTGAGAAATTGTAATAGGAAGTAAGAATTTGAGGTCTTTTGATATTGAGGCAGAAATTGAAAGGATTTTCATGATGTAAGTTATCACGATGTCCTGATAAAGAGCATGTTACAGTGTAATCCAAACATATGCAGAAAGATCAAGAAAGGATACTGAATAGAGAGTGATAAAACTAGTTGGAAGGCAGGTAAATGAAAAACAGACCATGGCGAAAAGCAGGAAAGGCTTAAGAGAGAAACCATAGGTTGCCCAGGGGCTAGGCTCCATCAGCCTATGGTCTGGCGGAACTTTATGTTTTATCTTTTGGCTCCATGAGACAGCTTTTAGTCCAGGAATCTTCAATGCATTTTACTTCCTTAAAAACATGGACAAAGACAAGTAGGAAGAAAATGAGGAGAAATAGGTTTGTACTTTGAGAGAGACAGAGAGACTACAATAAATGCATAGATGAGTAGAAGAGGAGTGAGTGCTGAACGCTGATGCTGTAAAATGTCAAAATCAAATACGAAAAGGTCCCTATTTGTAACTATTTCTGAAGAGGAAATCTATATTGTCCTTTCTGAGTAAATAAGTGTACATGGTTCATTTTTCTTCTTACAACAATTATGTTAGTTATGGAATGTCTCTCAAAGTGTAGAACATGTTTCATTGTAGTAAAGGAGAGGATTTTTCAGTAGTCCATTAATTACTGTTCTATATTTTAAAGTTATTTACTTTAATCTGTATTAAAATAAAATATAACTACATCAATTCTGTAAATTCACAGATAGTGAGGTTAAGGCTAAGGTTTAAAAGGTGGATCATTTTAAAGATTTAAAGAAAAATATTAACCCAATGGTATACAAAAATAGTAAAAATATTAAAACTTCTATACAAACAGTGCAATTTAAGATATCCTGATTTTTGTTTGTTTGCACTTGTTTGTCTGAATAAAGGGCTAATGAGACCTCTTTCTCTAAGGACATTTTTGATCTTGGGTTAACTTTCTGTTTCTGTTTCTATGGAAACCTGAAAAAGGTAGAATGTCAGCTGTGTTACAAGGCAACATTGTTTTTGTCACAAATTAAACTAAGGCCTGTGGGGCCAGATCCAGCCTGAAGCCTGTTGTAAATAAAGTTTTATTGGAACACAGCCACACCCCCTGTTTGCAGACTGTCTAGGGCTGCTTTCACGCTATATGTGCTTTCATGCACAGCTGCAGCAGAGAACAAAAAGCTGAAATTATTTACGATCCGGCCCTTTGAGAAAAAGCACATTTGCTGACCCCTGGATTACGGTAAAAATAACCCAATTGTAAATTATGCATGGCCCAGGAATTCTGAAGTGAACTGTTCACACCTGGTAGGAAGTCCTGGCTTTGACTGTCTCTGTCTGTGACTCTTGTGACCGGGACTCTAAAAGCTGGACTCATGGAGTCCTCAGAAGAGATACTGGCCCCTGTGGGCATGGAGCTTCTATGCTAAGGTGGACACTGACCGCCAGTGTGGATCTTCCCCCTTGTACTTGAGCTGCCACTTAAGGAGCTGGATGCGAGTCACGACAAGGACTGATGCGAGGATTCCCACCAGGGAGGAAGGCACGATGTGCCTGCAGCTGTGCTGTTTCCTGTATGGTACCCTGGGATCTGAATGACGCACGAAGATGATGTGGGTCTGGAGTGTTTGACTATCTAGTAAAGTCTAAAAAGAACCCTTTGAATGTTGCAGTTGGTTTGATATACTTTACTTTTCATGCCAAAGGTACTGGCTTACAATGTTACGAGCACCCAGGACTATGAGCTTGATTCATGGCTGCTGTGTTCCCAAACCATACCTTTAGGTCCTCTTGCTCCATCAACTCCTGGAAGTCCAGGGGGCCCTGGAGAACCTGGCTCACCCTGATAGTTTAACGAAACAGAAGTAAGACTTTAATTGGGTTTCAAATACACATGACACATGCTTGACATGATCTAGGTATAATTTTCTCTTAACTAATCTGGCTTCTATAATTTT